AAAAAAAAAAAGAACAATCCTGCTGAGATCAGTCACTGTGTGTGTGTGTGCGTGTGTGTGTGTGTGTGTGCGGCACTGTGCGCCTGTGTGCCTGTGTGTGTGTGTGTGTGTGTGTGTGTGTGTGTGTGTCTAAAAAACAGTAAAATAAAAATATATATAATTTATGGTGTGCGCACTCGGTGCACCTGCGCCCCCCCAGCGCGCACCCCCCAGCGCACCAGCGCGCAGCGCACAGGCCCTGAGCGCAGCGCACTGCGCACCCGGGTGCGAGGCGCGCGCACCTCGGGTCCGCGCAGCGCACAGCGCGCGGCGCACCACACAGCGCACAGGGCGCAAGTATGATATATATCCGTTTGACGATATATGTCCATTTTGCGGCCACGGGCGCTATACTGAATGCATGGTCTTTTGTGGTGACTGTTCTTCCTTCAGTTTGGTCTGCAATCGACATGCCATTTGTCGGGGGTGTATGGTGGGCATGCATTCACCTCATCCTTACAATTGTTGCACTGAGAATGCTCAGCTAGGTCTTCCATGTGTTCATCCACCTCATCCTTACAATGCATGTCCTCTCTGTCGTCAAGGACAGGCTCATTCTTGAGCCTTTTCTTATCCTCTTTTGCCTTCACCTTCACTCCACAGTGCCTGACATGGCGCATGCCACACTGTCTACGACACAGATTGGGAATGCGACAAGGAGGAAGATCAGGCACTGTGGGATTGGTTGAGTGAGAGAGAGGAAATTGACCTGTTGCTGCTGTCGACATTGCGCGCTGTGGAGACGTCTTCATTGGAGAACTGCGCCTATGTGGCACTATGCGATGATCAGATCTCGCCAGGCTCAGGGACACTTGCATGGGTCCTGGGGACCATCTCACACAGATGTGTACATGTCATGCATCATCTTCACACGCAGTTATCAATAGTCTCCAACATAGACAAAGGTAGAGAAGAAGAGGACCGAGTCTCACAGCTTACATTATCAGGAATATGATTACAAAGTGTTTCAAAGTTCCCCTGAGTCCAGCGCTCATCAGCGCAACACAAATCTCTGCTCAACTCATCAATATGCCTTCCAAGGCATCAGCGCTACCCCTGCAGATTGTCTCCTAGTCATCAATATGGTCACAACTCGTCAGCGCCAACTCTGCAGTTCACAACCAACTCAGGTAAGTGTCTCCCATAGCCAAACCTTGAATGAACACTCTTCGTCTCAATCTCTTCCTCCTACGATGAATGCACACACTGTTCTCACAAGGATCTACTCTGAATACTACTCATAGCTAAGTACTAACCCTTCTACTCTACTTACTAACTCGCTGGGCAGCTAT